AACGGGGGAGAAGTTTGAGCGGCAGCGCGGCCTGGAGCGGGAAGCTGCCTGGCCCAGGCCCCGCCATCAAACTGCGCGCTAGCAGAGACCAGGACCGCATCTAATGACCGCTTCTGTGCAGGACTGTAAATGCATTTATATAACGGTTTCAGTGGAGACACCCATGTGAATTACATCGTTCAAAGTTTGCAGATCCAGCAGTTTAAACCTGAAAATAACAAAGCCACAGTTGTGTTTTATTTGAAGATCATTGAAACAGTATGGGCCAAAGATCCAGCTGTATTGATGGAAAGACACTATTTAAGTACTATAGACATCCAGATCATCCCTCAGTGTCCCCAAGCAATCAAAATACACTCTGTGGGATGTAGAGATTTCAGTTTTCCTAAAAGAAAAGAAGAAGAAAAAAGAAAGAGAGAGAGAAACCTCTTGCCTAAATATTCTGAAACAAACGTAAAGGGTGACCATTTTAGAGAAATGTATATTTTGGAGTCATTTCAAATAAAGAATGGACAACATTTTCAATTTTATCATTGCCCTATACAAGTGCTCCATTGTAACAGAGTGAAATTTCGGGGTTAGATGTCACAGTTCCGTATTATCTGTCTAATTATAGAATAGATGGAAAGTCAAATTCCACACTTTTGTTTTTTTGCAAAAAAAAATTACAAATATTTAGCTGAAGTCTTCCTGACTCCTTTCTCCTGCTTCCTATGCATTTGTAGCACAATGAGGAAATGTCCTTTTAAATAGCTTTTTTGAATTAGTGAAAATGTCTGAATGGGTATATAAGCAGACTTTTGTTGTTGTTGCTGTTATGTATGAAAAATACACTGAAATTGTTGACTGAAGTAAAAGAAAACTAATCCTGCATATATTCAGGAGCACAACTTATCCATAGGAAAAAAAAAGTTCCCCAGTTTGAATTAACATGTGTACAGATGTGTGAAGAGCCGGGCAAGGCATAAGATTTGCAAATTCTGTGCTGTATGATAGATATAGGTAGTCAGATCTTACATGATTCACTCAAATTCTGTGCTGTATGATAGATATAGTCAGATCTTACATGATTCACCTTTCAGTTAGGAATTAAGTTAGTGGTTTTTTTGTGGCTTAAGGCATACTTTTCACTGTTCGTGGTCTGTTGGCCTCTCTCAGAGCAGGTAAATTCATTGATTCTCATCATAGTTATAGTTAAAGAGTAAAACACAACCAGCAAAGAAGGCAAGGGACCCTAAATCAGAAATAATAGCCAGCCAACCAGGCCAACAGATGGTTCCTCCTGCTGACTCTGTTTTACTCTGTCTCTGAAGATATTTTTGAACAGGGAAGAGTTGGGGAAGGAGCTGGAAATGCCTCCTCACACATTTCAGATATCTGAGCATCAAAGGATGGATTCTACTACCCTAGGGAGAAGAAACAAGCCATGAATGAATAGGAATCTTTGGGAGTCTGTGGATCTGCTTGTTGGTCCTCATTCTTCACAGACAGTGTTACAGCACTTGCAGCCTGCATTCTCATTTCAGATAATGCAAACTGAACCCATTACTTCACTAACAGGTTTTTGTGGAGAAGCACATTACTATTTTGCTGTGAATGTTCCACAAGATAACATGCATATTATATTTTTTCATAACACAATAGAATATTTTATTAGTCATTGTTTGAAGTAACCCCAGGTAACCTGCAAGTAAATTGTCTTTCTGATTTAATTCTTTACTTCTATTCAGCACATAGTTGCTATTGTATAAATGCATGGAGACAATTGCTATTACATCAGTGAAAAATCATGATTGAATGTTTTCTTTGGGAAGGACACATAAAGTTATACATACTTGAAAAACAGATGGCGTTTAATTGAAATGTTACCAATCCTGAAGCAGTGGACCGTGTCATGATGGCATGGAGGGGGAATTTTTGTGACCCTCAATTTAATATAACTATATGGGTTAAATAAAAAAAAAATAAAAAGAGGAAAATTCATGGTTAGCAACTATGTGGCATATGAATTTCCAGTCATGTTCATATACTCTGTGAATAACAGCCTTTTCAAAAGTGTTATCTTAAGGAAGCTGGGTGTATAGGTACCTCGTGCTTGCCATGTGGTCAGATTGTTTATATTTAATGGGAGGGTAAATAAGAAGGGAGGAAAAAAGTAGAAATTAACTATTTTGATATTCTGATGTACAACAAGAGTTGTGGGTCTAATGCAGAAACTTATTTGTTCCTTCACTCAAGGTGTCCAAGTGCTCCGAGGAGATCAAGAATTACATCGAGGAGAGGTCTGGCGAGGACCCGCTGGTGAAGGGGGTTCCCGAGGAGAAGAATCCCTTCAAGGAGAAAGGAGGCTGCATTATTGCATGAGGAAATAAATCCATCCACAACTGGAGCAGACAGTGTTGCACCTTTAGAGAGTCACTAGCGTGTCCTGAATTCCGCTGGTCCTTGTTGAACAAGCGCAGGAGTGGACTTTTTTTCTTAAAAAAAAATGAAATACATAAAAAAAGAAAGAATATCTCAAAGCACACAAGGCCCTTGTTGGTTGGTCAATAGGATATGGCCGCATCCTGCTCTCCGACACCGTCGTGTCGTGACAGGCCCTTTGCACTGTCACCACTCGCTCTCCCCGCCCGTTAATCTGTTGCTTCTCGGCTGTTAATTGGAATTAAAGGAACCTGCCCGTACACCGCGCGCCTGGGCGCTTGCTTGGGGCTGGGGGAGGGCCGGGGCG